GATGCACATAGTAGTACACTTTGACTATTTTTAAGATCTGAGAACCAACAAATTAAATTGGTGAGGCCCACCATCTGCATTTACAGTCTAACAATCATCCATTCTAGCAGCAATGGGGTGGGATTCCCTGCCCCAGGCACAGGTCCTGCCCCCCTCCCCAATTCACCACTTCAAGTGGACTGGAAGGAATTGTTTCCTGTGAGGTAGCAACTTTAGAAAAGCTATTAAAGTCGGTGTTCTTGCCCTCAAGCAAAAGGGGCGTTGGGATCCTCATATTGCCGGAATTCTGTTACTCAGAGTAGTGACATACTCCAGATACAGTCCAGAAATAGGCAAATTTTGCTTGATAAAATATGAACTAGCTATTGAGGTTGGTACTCTACTATTCTACTTCATATTATTATAAGACCAAACTTTCCCAGCCACCTGTGGCAAAATGGATTGTCATAAAAGTTTTTATTGTTACCAGAATTCATTCAGAGCAGTTGATTAAGTTACAGAAAAGGTACAGCCAAGATAAGACTAAGTTATTCATTCAGTTTATTCATTCATTCATTTAGATTCACTACATTTGTGGAAGAATTGACATGAGAAGTGACTACTAGTATGATCGTGTTTTCAAGATGTTAACCCAAAGAACAGACTGTATAAGTTTGAACAAGGAGGTTAAAATCAATCTAGATTTAACCTTCTTGTTTTGAACCACTCACTCAATCCTTACTCTTTGTAGTTGGTTCCTTAACTTTGTGGGACTCTCCCAAAGGACCTCTCTAAACGATGCTAGGTTCTTATTTTCACCTGAGTTGAGTGAGGAATTAGGTGTAAAGTGCCTGTCCTAAGGGCATAGTACTTGGGCCTGACAACAATTTGAACCCAAAACCTTCAAGTCAGTAACCCTAACCACAAGGCCACCTTTCACTAAGTTGTTCTTCTCAATTTCAATAACATCAGTAAGGGCTTTATTATTGCAACACTTCCTACCCACAATATTTCATTCTGCACAGAGCCAATATTCCATGTTGGTTTTTGACCCTCGGGTGTTCAGTGACCTGTCTTAATTTGAAAAGGCGAGAAGACTACCAGGATGTGCATTAGGGAGAGTTACTGTACCAGTGTCTTTTCTCCATTGCTTCAAGTGAGGGAAGTAACACAGCCAGGCTGGTTATGATCACCCACTATAACTTCATACAGTCATGTGGAATAAAGATGAGACATAGCTAAGTCATAGCAGCTACTTGCCTTGGGTACTCGCTTGAGTTCCTTGTGCCTCCCTGTTGCATCTTGTATTGGTTTCTCACAAGGAGGAAAACTCTTGTAATCCCCCTGGTCTTATACAAAGTTTTTCACAGTGTAAGTCACAATGTTACCAACTCTGCAAGGATAAAGGGTGATTCAAAACTTTTTTTAGTACTTTTAGACACCAACCAACTTTACTGGCTCAGGGCATTACAAGGTTGTATAATGGAACCTTTTACCAACTCTGCAAGGGAGAAATTTGAAAAATCCAAAATGTGCTTAATACTTATACAAATGTACACCAGCCAACTTTCCTAGTTTGCTATGATATAAGTCACCCTGTTACCAACTCCGCAAGAAAACAGACAAATCCTGACGTCCTGCCTGCGTCTATTTCCTCTCAATGAAAGATAAGCCGAACAAACCACCCCAAAATCCTGACCTCCTGACCCTAAACGGTAACACCGATATTTCCCCATCAGGCGGCTACAATGAGGGGCTTAGCCCTTGGTCACCCAAGTTGATGACACGGCAAAACAGCAGAGCAACACTAATAGAATCACCCCAGCGCTCACCACATCCTGAAACTCACAATTTCGACCCCTCAGGCTACGGAATCAGCTTGGCTCCCTCAGACCGATCGCAGCGCTTAAAGTGTCTCTTACGACATGCCTATGAAATAAACCTTCAGGAATTGGACCATAAAGTTGTGAGCTTTGTGTAAAGTCTATGCAATCAGGATGGCGTAACTTGGAGTTACAGGGTGTCTGCTGTATAGTCGGTACCTCTTATGTCAAGGAAAAGATCCTCATAAAAAAGTTTGAGCAGAGCAAGGTGCAACACCAAGGTCTAGTCAGTAATCTGTTTGCTGTAGTGACCAGAATGATAACGACAGGAAAATTGTGGCCCACTGGGACTTGATAGTCCTTTATTGTTGGAAGCTATCTCAGAGATTCAGGTTAGCATGTTCACTTTGGCAAAACATATAATTGTACCTGCCTCAGATTTTCCAACACAACATACATGTAGGTAAACAATAGATAGAATGTCATACTAATATATACGACCTTAACTAAGGCCTTCTGCTGAAGTGTACACAAAGGTCAAACACAATGACCTGGACCAGATGACTGTGGTGTTGGGTTACATTATGTAGCAAGTTGGAGGGGCTGGTCATCATGTAGATGAATTATATGTTTTAATACCTTAATGATAAACAGGACACAATAGTTCGTTGAACTAGACCATGTGATGGCACACACAATGCATTGCTTTGCAAATGTTTAATACCTTTCTACGTAGTCTTATACCAATTGTGTACAACTTTGCAAGACAAGTGTCAACTTCTCATATTGACTGTGCACTTATTTCTGAGTTCGTATTGGCTATCAACTCCAGCTGTCCTTGGCCCCATTCCGCTTCAGTGGTTGTGAGTAGTTTTGGGGCAGGCCGTTATGAGGTTATTGACTGAACACTGATGGTCATTGGGCACATGACCTTTGTCATTACTGACTGTATTTGTTTTGGGCTGGGGGGAAATAGAACCTACATGTAGGTGACCCAGGAAGTGAGCTGAATGTGCAGGACAGGAATATTTTATTCAATGTTCAATTATACATGTATCTACTGTATATCAACTGATGAGGCTCCACGAATATATTAAAGACTGTGATACATGTAGATGCACTTCTAGTAGATGCAGTACTCTGTACTTTGTACAATTGTTGTGCAATAAAGCTACATGTACATTTATCACAGAATTATATAATAAAATATTATTAACAGAAAAACTGGAGTTCCTAAAACTCTTTTACTCTATCTGGCTTTGGAAATTAGGATTAGGAAAGTTTAAATTTTCACAAAAGTCAAATACATCATTCTACTATCACCATGTACACATGTACTAAACAAGAGAATAGTCAATAGAGACATACTCATCATGCTTAAGGCATGCAGTAGCAGGTAACATGTAACGTTTCGAAAATGGTGGCCTTGGAATTTTAAAGACGAACCTACTAAATTTTAATTTGCATTTTAACTATTTTCATAACTATTTCAGAAGATATAAAATGTAGTTGTAGCAATAAGCAATGCCTATCCTATTCCCAATCAGAATGCTAATGAATAAATCCTAATGACTGATGAACAGAATAATTGAAACTGTTATAATATTCCCCCCGGCGCTGCCAGCTAGATGCAAAATGGCAAGTGAATAAAATTTACCTAATTGCCATTTTCAGTTCCTAATTATGCTTTTTACGTTGATTGTTTTAATGCACATATTTGACCCATGATGGCAGCGATGCAATGTGTATGAATTCTGATGGGAGTGATTATGGGAGACTTAATGAGATGGGAAACGGCTTTTACTGCTTCATAACGGACCAATTACTTACTCATGTTTCCATCAAGATTGACAACAGGGGATAGGTGTATAACTGAGTGTAAATCAAAATCAGTCTTCTATTGTAGTGTGACTTTTCAAAGTTGCACGTCCAATTGAAATTGCTACTTTCTTGGATTAATCTCAAGGTAAAAATATAGAAAATAAACATCATAAATACAGAGGGAAGGAAGGAATACTTGAATATGACTGTATTCACTCCATAAAAGCGAGCGCATTGAAAGCATCGACTTGGTCCTTTGCTTTGTAATCATTATGTTTTTTTTCTTCAGATTTTAAAGCATATCTTTAAAAAATCAATTGGTGTGACCCTATCATACTGCACCTTTTGAGCTAGACATGTGTAATAACATTTGATGAATACATGTGGTTTTAACATATTACTTGGACCATGATGCTTACATGTATATTACTTCTACTTGGAAAAAACCTATCTTCAACACAAAATTATACAAACACAAGGTGATGTATACATTCATGGTACTAATTGCTGACTTACAGGTGTGACCCGTATATCAACGAATGACAAATTTTGATAGCAAAAAAAAATCATCTGACTTCATATTATACAACTAAAACTACCACATTCACTGCGTCAGATGCATGATTCACAAGCACTTGGCATTACAAATGAGACGGTAAATCACCATGAGCACCCAAAGCAATTTCAAGGCTATAAAACTGTGACAGTCATGTTTTTTCAAGTTGAATCAACCCTATCCCAAAGCTGTGAGGCAAAATTGCAATTAATGCTGCTTGTTCTGTATTGCAGGTTGGTTCATGGCTTTTTTGGCCTATTTCAAACTCTTCATTCAAGTATGAAATGATGACAAAAATGTGCTAATTACATGTAAGAAATGGCACTAAATGTTAATATCAGACCATTTCCTCATCCAGAATATTTTTTGTATTGCTACCCTGAAATTGCATTCGATGTCTTTCTAAATAAGTGATTTGGAGAGAAATTTTATTCATTGGATACATCCCACCTTATATGGCATATTGAACTTTGAGGAGGTACAGTATCGCAGAAGCCCTAATACCAGGGAAACTGAATTGCACTGATCTTTCACAAAAAGTACATATACTTTAACCACCAAAATCACAAACGACATTAATCTCTATTTCATTGTTTCAAATTGGCAGCATGGTACCCTAACAGCGTGCCATCAATACCTCTTCCATCCTTTGAGCAACAGCCACTATTTGTAACCCTAAATGTCTCTCTATCATTCTGCAGCATTTTCCTGCTTTCTTCGGGGAGTGATTCCAGAATGCTCTGAGAACGCCACAATTAGCCATAGAACTATTACCTCGTCTGCCAACCCCCCTCCTTTATTGCTGCACCTTTTTAACTACCCTAATTTTGTAAGTGGGTCGTAAATCGCAAGCGGCGGGGACATGACGGGAGAGAAACGGCCGCCATTAAAAACACATTCTGCTGACTCAGGAATGACCCGGCCCGCCGAAACGCACCATTGTTTAAGCATCGCGCTCCTGATGAGGATTAAACGAAGCGCGACGACTCACTGATTTACATTCTATTCACATCGCTCGTATTGCTGTCAGGATATCGGGTTGTCTTCGTGCTTCAGAGAAATGATACCACATTACCGTGTAATGTCATAATGCAAAAAGTTTTTGTATTATGAAATTATATTTGCATCCTCTGTACATGTTAACTCATTTCACTGTTAGGATGTCTTAAACTTTGTGCTCTGTCTTTGTGCTCCTGAGAAATGTTACATTCTACAGTGCATATAAAAGGATATAAATATTATTTTTACATTTGTATTTGAAATGAGAATGAATAATATTCAAATACGGCAAGAACATGATTTTATGGCATCCTCTGTACGTTGCTCATTTCACTGTTAGGCTATCAGTTGGTCTTAAACTTTGTGCTCTCTTTCTGCTTTCCAGAGAAATGATCCATGTACCACATTACCATGTAATGCTAAATGATTGTCATTATGCAATACATGTAGGTAGAATGAATTTCACCTAGACACTAACCTGCATACATGTACATGTATGGAAGTGGTACATTTCAAGCAGTGTGTTCATATCACTTGTTGTAGTGCTGGGAGATATTAGTGTGACCCATTTTGAGCTTTTCTCTCTAGAGGGAAAACGAAATGCAAATCAGCTGTAATGCAAGAAGTATGAACCTTTACTCTGAATAAAAAATAAATAACGTTCAAATGATTATATTCATTTGCATTATTTTCACATCACTCACTTTATTGTTGATAGAGATCTGTTTTCCTTTGTGGAATTTTTCTCAAGGGAAAATTCATTCCAGCTGCTATAATGCAGAAAGTATGAATGTTTACTTTTCGAGTGTCATAATCAGGGTCATAAACCACGAGACAAATCTTCCTGTGATGTTTTTATCACTGTAGTAATAACAGAAAAACCAACACAGAATAGGATTATGTCACATGCCTCAAATAACACATATTTTACAAGGATTGTTTGCAAAAATAGTGTGGCGATAAATAACAAATAAAATATTATGTTTAGGTGTGAGTGGCTCAAACCTTACAGTCTAGTCTCCAGGCTGACATCTTGAAGAGCTGATAGTCACCTGTTATGTCAATCCTTCCACAAATGTGGCAATTTTCAATAAATAAATTAAGAAGTTTGGTTTACTGTTATTGGGGTTTCTTCTATAATAGGCTTAGCGAGCTTCTTGTCAAGGGAATAAAACATGCTGTTGCTGTAATGCTTAATGTATGAATGTTTGTACTTTAACCTTCTCTCTACTGCCTAACCTGGTAACCAATACAAATTTGGGCCCAAAATGGCTAACTTAGCCGGCAGAAGGTTAAAGTATCATCATAAGCCAGCCATTAAGCATGTCGCAATTTCCTGTGACGCTTTTACGATCCCAATAAAAAGTATGACAAAAGTATGCATGTCTGATTTTGTCATAATTGGACAGGTTTTATTTGAATTTAGTATTGTAGCTGCATCGTTCCGTTTGAGTGGTACAAGATAAGCCATAAATCATGCTCAAGCAGGCTCACGTATAATGCCTACAGCATCATTATTACTTTTGTTAAGGATGGAATTTTGATGCCCTCCATGCATCAATGCAAGCAATAAAAGCAGTGCATCACACCCGCAACATAAGAAGTTCAACATGGACTGTTGAAGAAGTTTACTTCTTATTTGCTGCCTAATTCTTTGCAGTTCCTTTTGATTATTAATTGGCCATTAGAGCTAGATATTCACATTCAAACTAGAAAACTAACATTTGCAAAGCAAATGCATATTATTTTTACCTTGATTTCACACAGTCTACTCTAACCAACTCTCTCTCTCTCTCTCTCTAACAAACTACAGCTTTGTTTATGCTTACTCAAACACATTCATAATAACATACATATGGTGACCAGCCCCTCCAACTGCCATTTGCTACATAGTGTAATACGACACCATAGGGTGTCTGCTACAGTGTCAGTTCCTGGCCCTCAAATGATATAACTATCAATTTCTCTTATTGCATGAAGCATTTGTTAACTATGTATATTGTAGCAATATATTATCTTAGACCTTTGCTAACTCGTATGTAACAATACACTACAACTGTCAGTCTGCAAGTATCGCAATAATGTTGATTTATTACAAGCAGACAGGAAGAAATTGGACAGTTAAGTTGAGTTACTAGACAAGTTTTGTTCTTTGATTATATAGTGTTGCAGACTCATGCTTCATTTTTGGGAAAGTTGCCAACAAAATGCTTTGTTTGGGAGTCAATGACTCTACTGTAATGTTGTACATTGGTTCAATGGCCTCCCTATTGTACAATGTACATAGGAGCATATCGGCATAACGTACTTTGCCTGCACAAGACTGAATTTTATAGGTTTTTGTTGGCTGTTCGGTCAATGTTGTATTGTGTTGTCTGTTGCAGAAGATATCTTTTCCAACACAACATTTGAAAGCTACTTTAATATTTATTAGAATGCTGTTCCACATTTCTCTACTTCAATTCACATTAAAAAGTTTTGGACATGCTCAAAATCATTTGGGCCAGCCACACGGATGGATGCAAAAAAAATGGAATTTACTGAGAATTTTTAGAATGCACTTCAAATATCCAGGAATATACAAACTTTTAAAGGATTTTCATTCAGACCACAATACATTCCACCTCTTGTGTGAATGGGTATAAAGGTTCTGGCAGGCATTAATTAATGTTGTGCCCTTGGGAAATGCACTTCACACCATTTTGTCACTTGACTCAGTTGAAAATGAGTACCTACATGTAGCTTTGGTTATATGTCAAGGCCTAGGCCACAATGTCTACAGTTCCTTGATTTTTGGACCTTTAAAGGTAGGAAATGATTTCAGAAGCAACAGTTCAAGGTGAAGTAGGAAGCACATCTGACAAAAACAACAGCCGTCAACTGCTTTCTACCTCCAAGAAGCCCTTACAATCAGTAATCAGTGGACCACAGAATCATTGCATTACAGTTCCTGCAACCTGCAATGAAGGTGAAGGGTATCAGCTAAAGTTCACTGCCAACTGATTGGCCTTGTAGTCAGACTCTTGCCCCTAAGAGCACGGGGTTCTTGCAATCCTTAAGCCACACTTTTTTTTATTTATTTTGGGGTTTGCAGGTTCAAAACAATTATCCAAGACTGGAAGGTCCACAAAAGAAGGAAAGTCTACATCTCGGTACACAGTTTCTGAGAGTAAAAATATAGTTGAATTCAAGTTTGACCCAAGCCTTTTATTTTCTTTACCTTTTGTAACAGTATGTAACAGTATCCAAGAACCAAGGAAACCTGTTGGTGTGGCTTAAGGTGTAAGAGATTTTAAGAATTTTAGGAGTTTGGTCTTATTTTTCTCCCCTGCATTGAAGCAACTTATTATTAAACAACAAAATCATATCTCTCTCCTCTTGAACAAATTACAGAACAAAACTGGAAGTTCCACTGCATTGTTAAGACAAGCTGCTAGGGAGCTCAAAATCTAATCATTTTCAGGTCTCATCAAGACCTACCTACCTACTAAATTTCATAACAATCCATACATAGCTTCTTGAGTTATCTCACCAAACAGTAAACTACACATACATGCACAAATGTATGAGGATAAGTAAGGATAAGTAAGTAGGAAAGGGAATAAAAGGCTGTAAGGTCAATGTCTCATTCAACGTTATTCATAAATCTACAATCAACCATTAGTGATGATTATTCCCTACTGCTAACAAACACTACTGCAGAACTGTATCGCCTCAGCCTATCGGGATCTGTACAACCCATTATGAATATCTAATGGGTGTAATAAAATCAACTTTTATAATTGGATCCTGACTTGCATGGGTTCAGACCATTCATTTAGAAGGAAATGAAAGTAAGATTCTGATTATGTCAAAGAAACGATGATCACTGGGGTACAATTGATGATCAGTTGGGTACAATTATGAGCCATTGCCATTACAGAACTTGCCCAATGAGGAACCTGCTAAACTGTATGCTCTTTACATCCTGTCCCAATACTATTACAGTTTTTTTTAAGATTGAGTATGAAGTATTAGGTGTAAAAGTTTGCATACTTTGTTATTCTTTTCATTATGCATTGGGATCGTAAAAGTGTACAACTGTGAGTCATTGCCATTACATAACTTGAGCAAGGAGGAACCTGTTAAGCTGTATGCTTTTAACATTCTGATTCCTGCCTATGGTAACCCTAAATTAGGGTTAGTCAGTTAGTGTAACCCTAAATTAGGGTTAGCGTCACCCCCTCATTCTTACTGCACTGTAACCATCTCAGTCCTGATCACGACAAACATAGCTGCTGTACTGACATGTCCAAGCTTTAATAACACTGAGGATGTGTGGCAACACTACCTTGTGTATTACATTGGAACCACAGTAACATACACGTACAGACAGAGAGGCACAAAACAATTCACTCCCTTGGGGTGAAGTAAATATGAAGTAACAAATTATAAAGTACTTAAACAATAACTACATGTACACTTGTAAACAGTTATTACCTATTGAATATTTTCTCCTGATCTGGATGACTGTACAAGTAATATTAACAGACTGCAGTACTTCCTGCTACACCTAGGTGGCTCTGTACAATGGTGTCCCTGAACTGTGTTATGTTTAATTTTAGGGAGGGTTGAAGTCTTAACAATATCTGCAGCATTGTGGAGGTGAACATCGTGCACTTGCTTGCAAATGCCTTCTTCTTTGACTTGCTTTTTGTCAGCCACAAGCTCATCAGCCACAAGCTCATACACTGTGGAGTAGAAAAATGCTGATAGACCCCCAAAAGAAGAGATGATGACAGGGAATGTAACAGTAATATTTCACCTGGTTAACAGAGCAAATATAAAAGATATTGATGTCACTACCAAAATGCTGCCCTTGTACCTCTCCATGGTGCTGAAATGTGTGTTAATTCACAACGCCTAGGGTTTGTTTTCATTGCATCCCAATTCAATTTGTTGGTTCCCGGATTTGTT